AATTTGCTTTAAGGAGGTGAAGCCAGGCAAGCAGTTATCAAGATCTTGCTTCCCTGAGTCCCTTTCGGCAACACCAGTAATGAAGGGATAGCACGCGGGAAAGTCATGGCTTGTGACAGCTGAGACAGTTTTGCCTTGGCAATACCCAGAATGATTTCAGGCTCGCTTCAGAGAAAGTTTGTAAGAGGAAAAGACCAAGTAGTAAGTTGCCCAGAGATTGGATACCATCGCCATACCTTGATGCTCCGGGCTGCCTTGATCTGGTCTTGCCCTGCAGAGCATTTCAAAGCATCAGCTTGCCTCTCCCAGACCCTCTGAATTCATATTGTGAGAACTTTTTGAAACCATATTTTTCAGTCTTTCTGACAGGTAGGAATGAATCAGCAGTTCAGTTGCCAACAACAGAGACCAATGTCAGCTAATTGAGCATAAAGAGAACTCACTGGAAGGGCAGGCACCTGCCCGACAGACCAAGAGGAAACTGTTGCTGATGGCTGGGTAGCAGAGTATCATAGCCAAGTAGGGGAAACATGTCTCTGGCAGCCTTTAGGATGCTGCCCTCACAATTGCACTTGTTCCAGATGCAGAGTGATGGGAAAGAGTGTTGGCTTGGCTCTGGGCCTGTCCTCAGCTGCACCACGGGCAGGGGAGCGTTTCACAGGCAGAAGGGACGCAGGATAACAAGCACATGAAGAGAGCTGTGCAGGGAAACAGCAGGCTGGGTGCCAGGAGATGCACAGCCCACTCTTGGAATAAGCCAAGACTCTTGGAGGTGTTGGAGAAAATCTAAGTGCACTGAATTAACTAACACTTCTCAAACCTTTCCGCTTGTGATCATTTGCCACTGGAGAAATATTTACACAACCCAGGGCTTGCAAGTGCATAATACATGTGCACAAATCATGTACTGGTAATAGAGTCAGATTTAAACAACTTTTGACACACATTAGTCATTTAAAAAAAAAAGAAAGCAAACTTGCATACTAAAAAAAGCGCTCATTTGATTTTGCTCAAGGAATTAAATCTTGGCTCAATATCCGATCTCGGAGGTTATAGAACATCTTCAACATCTTTCAGCTGACTGATATTCTGATTTTATAAAAGTCAGTGCTATGCTGAGGATGCTTCCTAGAATAAATAAATAGTTCAAAATGGAAGAAGCTTATTGAGGGCCATTTTAGAAATTGTTGGAAATTCTGTTCCAATCTCATGCTAAAAGTGTGTGTGTGTGTGTGTGTGTGTGTAGGCACCCATATGTGAGTGAAACTTAAGTCAGCAACTCAAACAGCAATTTCTCTCTCTCCCTCCCCTCTCTCTCTACCTTTTCAGAGTCTGGTTATTTATTTGTTTCCCCTTTATCATATTCTGCAGCCCCCTCCTCATTTTTCTTAGCTGTTGTTTCTTCAGAACAATACATTGGTGTTTGTGTTGCAGGACACCTGAAGTACCAAGACCCTGAATCTTGGGTGCTTTGGTCTTGGGCTTCTTACCTTCTTTGTTTAAGACCTTTTGACAACTTATTGGCGGATGTCTTAGGGCTTTTATTGCTGTGAATAGACACCCTAGCCATGGCAACTCTTATAAGGGAAACATTTAATTGAGGTGGCTCACAGTTCAGAGCGTCAGTTCATTGCCATCATGGCGGGAAGCATGGTGGCATGCAGGCAGACGTGGTGATGGCTATATCTTGATCAAAGGCAACAGGAAATGGACTGAGACACTGGGCAGTATCCTGAGCATAGGAAACCTCAAAGCCCACCCACACAGTGACACACTTTCTCCAACAAGGCCACACCCACTCCAACACAGCCACACCTCCTAACAGTGCCATAACCTATGAAAGTATGGGGGCCAAATACATTCAAACTACAACAGTGAACATCATCTTCATTAGAGAGACTGAAAAGTTTCAAATTTTGTGAGTCTTTTGGACCCCAATCGCCGAGGTTCAGTAGCTTACCTATCCCTCCAGGAATATCTCTCTCTCTCTCTCTCTCTCTCTCTCTCTCTCTCTCTCTCTCATAAATAGGTTGAGAGCACTCAGATTGGCATCCACAGTGGACCCCAGAACAGACTTGTGCTTCCTCTTCCCAATTCTCCTTGCTCTACAACAAGAACGCCCCTTACTCAACAGCAGGCATACTCTGCCGCGGATCAAGACACCTCGTCTCATTGGAAAGAAAACCTTGTGTGTTGTTCCCACCACGGATTCCTATCACATCCCTTTCCACTCTTCACCCAGAGCACCAGAAGCTGCTCCTGTGGCCATGTGCTTCTCACAGAAAGTCAGCCGGTTGCGTTCATCTCCCCTTCAGTGAGCTTCTGGCAGCGGACGGTCTGGGAAAGGGATTCAGCTTCATCTTGACACGGCTGACTGCCTTGGAGGCGCCATGAAAAAGGTCTCAAATGGCAGCTTTTCAAATCAAACATTCTAACGTAATCCCTCCCAAAGATACACTCACAATACTTAATAATATGAGGAATGAAGGTCAGGAAACACTAAGCTCCTTTATTTTTGTGATAAAGGCATTATGAGCAAAATTACCAAGTGCAGTAAAAACTGCATCCCTAATGCCCAGTAGTCTCGGATATGGGCTGAGGCAGTATCTGCTCATGTGTCACTACATAGCACAGCATGACATAACCACGGGCAACAGAGGCTGCAGGAAAATCCCAGGTTTAGACACTGGGTAGGAAACCACTTCTGAGGAATTGCGGACAGAAGTCACACACCTTGGAAAGCATGTCTGAGAAATGGCTACTTGTCCTTAAGTTACTGCAGAATCATTAGTTCCGAATGAACCTCCCGCCCTTCCCCCACCCCGCCCCGCTCCAAAGAGCTTCTGGAGATGTACGTGGGACAGAATGTGGAGAGTGGGCAAGAGCACTGAAAACACAGAACTAGTAACTACGGCGAACGGAAAGACAGATGGGAGACAGGAGAGCGGAGAAACAGGATGCTGGGTGAAGGTTAGGATGCATCGCGTCACTTCAGGTTAGACAGACGTAGCGCTCCGGGGTATAGGAAGGAACTCACACTGCATCTAACTGAGAAGCAATTCCAGGTTGGTGAAGAAGAAAAAAAAAAACACAGACTGTAGGGTGATGTGACTGAAATATATTTAAAGCTTTGACAGAGATTGTCACGGAAGACGAAACATAGAAATGAAAGCAAGAGAGTTCAGTCTGGCCTCTCAGGTGGTAACTTAGACTTTGTAGGAGAGTGGTCACAGAAACATTGCTCATCGTCACTTCCAAGGGCCAAAATTTAGGTGCCCATTAGACAATGGATTAGTTGCCACCAGTCAGCGTAAACATCCCCAGAACTTGGCCAAAAGGAACCAGACACAAACTAATCCATTCATCTGAAGCTGAGAAAGAGGCAGAAGTAACTTCAGGAACAGAAGCTACACCCAGGGGCCTATGGGGGCTGGGATGGGGTGAATGACGTCACTGCCTGGGAGGGAACTTTCTGAAATGATGACAATGCTATTTTGATAGGCCAATGGGTAACAGCTGTTTCCTTAATCGAACCTTAGGAAGTGCATGCTTAACACATGCACGTGTTTTATTCATGTTTATGTGTGTGTGTGTTGGGGGAGGGGAACCTGAGGCCAGAAAAGAAGAGCATTAGATCCCTTGTAAATGGATTTACAGAGGGTGGCAAGCCGCTGGCCATGGGTGCTGGAAAACACAGGAAGCACACCTCCTCTGGCCCAAATCTATGTTTTATTGTCGGTAAATTTTATCTTGAATGATAATTATTAAGAAGAAAAGAGCGGCATGTATGTGGAATATTTAGGAAGAAGTTCACGGATGACTCTTGACTTACTTTGAAGTATGTAAAAAGGAAAAATATGCCAGTAGATGCTTTCATACAACCACAGCAAAACGTTCCAAATTCCCTAACAGCAGCCATGTTATGTGGGCGCTGTCAAAGCCTGTGGAGCTTCCTATGCGCTTGAGGTTTCTCACAGTAAGAAGAAGAGAGAAAAGAAGCAATGAACTAAAGGATTATTATGCATAACAAGGTGGTCATTGAAAGGAAAATGAAACAAATGACTAAAATTAAGGCCACTCCCTTCAGACAAAAGGGCAATGCCAGCAGGGCCTGGTGCCATCAGAGCTGTGAATAGTCTAATTTAAACCAGGAAGGCCATTGTCTCCTCACACACCAGGCAGGTACTGGCACATCACTTGACTGAGCTGCCGAGGGTGAGTGAGCACTCTTGATGGATGCTGCGGGGGAGCCAGGCCCTGGCGCGCTGCTCTCGGTATCCAGTGCAGTAGTCAGGGTGAAATGGAATCACTCTAGAAAGATCTACAACCTGTTACTGGGTAATAGATGTAGTTACCGGTATTTATGCAAAATGCCTAGGTAAGTACGCATGCCCACACCCACAGTGCAGGAAAAGAAAGGGCTCTGGAAAAAGGCAGGCTCCTACCTGGATGAGGATGGAGGGTGTCATCCCAAACAATCTGCTTTGCCCCAGGTTGATGGATTTTACAAAGCCCCACATTTGTGGTCTTGTTTAATAAACAGCATGAATGGATCCCTGGCTTAAACTGTTCAGCACAAACTTCAGAACCAAATAGGCAAAGTAGTCTGAACTTGGTCACACGGACCTTACAACTTGTAGCCCCCCCCCCCCCCAACAACGCTTCAGTGTCTCTTGCTCATTCCTAATTAGTGGACACCCCAAGATCCCAGAGATTAGCAGTTCTGTGAGGCGACCAGTGAACAGTCCGCTCCTGATCTACCTCTTCCTCCCAAGTACCAAGTCATGGCTGACTCCTTGGGCAGGAGGTTCCGCCATCCACTTCAAAACAGCACAACCCGGTTTGCTTTAACTATATGACACAGACTTGTTTTCAAGCACCAAGCTACAAGCTCTCCATACAGCTAATGCGGTCTGACTGACAGGAGGCAGGTGTGTGTGACTACACTTATCCTCCGTCGTTGGCCGTCTTTAGGGAAACAAAGCAAACGGTTCACGGGAGCTAGTTGCAAGTTTTATTTATATAAAATTCATTAGGAACATAAAAGATTGAGTTTCTTAAAAAAAATCTGCAGTTATTTACAGCAGTATTGCACAAGTACAGTGGCAATTACCCTGTCAAAATTCATCAGTGCAAAACATAAAGGAAGCCAGGGAAACTGCAATACAAAGAAATGCTACATACGCTGGGTCCTCGGACGCGTCAGTGATGGGGCGCTATACACAGACATCAGTGCTATTTATTAAAGGGTACCTGACAGTTTTGGATACAGTAACCAGAGGCCAAAGAACCTAGACATCAGAACCTATTTGAATATTACATTTTTGAAATTCCAAAATAAAAGCAGTCAAGTACTTGGCTGGGAGCTTGAGGGTACTTTGTGCAAGGCTGTTTGGGAAGGGCTCCCCCCTGATTTAGCGACACGTGTGGACACAACCCGCACACCGCTGTGCTGAACGGACACACACAGGCACCAGGCTAAATCAGCAGGGAGGACAGAACCGCCATCTACGTGAAGTCACATGCCCCTCGGGCTTCAGTGAGCACTTCTGTCTTGACACACAGGCCAGTGGGGACCCTGACCTCTTCTTGAGGGAAACGGAGAGCTGGAGCAAGGGCATGGACCTGCAGAAGCTGGCTGGACTAATGCAGTGACCAGGAGGAGGGAGCTGAATGGGTTAGCTCACTTCAGTCCACACACCTCAACACAGGAACCACACAGCAGGTGGGGACAGTAGCCAGCAAGAGTCCTGGTGAGACCGGTGGTCTGGGCAAATTCTCTAGAACAGGTCCCTGTCCAGGACAGCCACACAGCAGTACCTCAAGAGATGGCAGAATTGGATTTCTCTCAACACTGAGCTGTCGAAGATACTCTTTCGATTAAAAAAAGTCTTTCCCATTTGCTGATAATACTTCTCTGAAGATATGGCCAACTTACTGGCAAGCCTGTTTTTCTCAAAAAGCCAGCTACTTTACAACAGATGGGTTTCATGGGTATTTTTTTTTAAGAGTCCAATCTTCCAGCCTACCACATTTAGGGATTCTCATGGGCAGCAAAATACTAATTTCATCAAAAAGGTGGCAGAATCCAAGAACTGAATGCCAGGAGCCAAAATGGAGGCCACCTTGGGAGGGCGGACCCAGTCCCCCCCACTCAGGAGCTGAGCAATTGACGGGATGGCAGGGGTGTGGGGGACAGGGATGTCAACACTTTCAAGAATTTAAGACATTAAATAAGCAGAAAATAAATATACAACGTTTTTACAAGTTACAGCATTATGAAACAGTAGGGCACATTACACAGAAAAAGAACCTGCAATATTTACAATCCTTAATTCTGAGAAGTTTAGAAAAACAGTGATTTTTTTACACTCATTTATGCCGTACAAAATTTTACAAAGAAAGGTAAAGGAAACACAATTGCACACAGACATTTGGCTCAGTTGATGAATAAAACACGACTTCCTAATCTAATAAATAGTCAAAATATGTACAACACTGAGAGACAGGAGAGGATGTGTACAGTATCTATTACAGACTTGAATGAAAAGAGATTTTAAAATGATTTTTCAGCCTCCCCGTCCCCCACCCCCAAATTCAACTTGTTTTTGGGAAGAAAATCTGAAAAATTACTCAGGAAGTCATTTTGTGTATTTATTGCATCTTGGGGTGAAGTCATAGGACTTCACCTTTTTACAAACCTCACTTGGGGAGGCTGTCAAGGCACAAACCCGCATTATGTTTTCACACACACACACACACACACACACACACACACACACAGAGAAAGACAGACAGACAGACAGACACAGAGAGACAGAGGAGGGGGGATCTAGTTCTACTTTAAAAAGTGAGAATGACAGATACTAATAGTAAAATAAAAATTAAGTACAAGGGTCTACCTATAGCAGGCAGACACACTTTCCTACTTGCATTTTAATAAACAGATACAGTACAGGGACATCCAGTCACGTGTAAGTTCTGGGTGCCGCATCCTGTTCTTGAATACTTCTACAATTCATAGAATCTGTTATTTCCCCATGAACTGCTTGGATGGCCAGCCCCAGGTTGGAGGCCAACGGGACACAGAGGTAAGCATTGAAGGGCCACACATGCCACTGGCACCTGGCTCTGGGAGCCTTCTGCACCTGCCCAGGAGGTACCACAGAGTCACGGGGTTGAGACAGTAAAGTGCTCCAGCCAGAGAGACTGGCACATGCGCATGGCAGTCCTAGGAGATGAGCAGCCTAGAACCAAGTATGTCTTTGGTGTGTGCATGCGTGTGTGTGTGTGTGCACGCGCGGGTGTCTAGAAGAACCATGGTTGCACTCTTACTGCCACCTTATAAGAGTGGGCTATATAGGAACCCTCGATTAGACTCAACACATCAGGAGTGCCAACACAGCTTTCAAACTCTTAAAAACCTAAGGAATCTGGGAAAGAAATGGTTTTAAAAGAAAGACTATTTGGAATCAAATGATCCCAATCTAGAAGGAAAAGCATATAGGCAACACACACACACAGACACACACACAGACACACACACACAGAGAAACACACAGACACACACACACAAACTTAGGAACGTAGGGAAGAATGGATTTCTCTACTTAATAACGTAAAAACACTGGCCCTATACGGGGCAAAAAGCAAACACAGTCGTTGGCACTGCTGTCTTGCTTGGAAACACACACACGTCTCTAAGCAAGCTGCCTGATGACGGATGTTTTCACAAGTTAGAGGGCTCCCAGTCCCCCCGCCCCTCCGATGGTCTTCCCTCTGTCCTTTCTGTGTCTTCCCTGGTTATCTGCCTGCATCTGTGCTGTTTGCTTTGGGAGGTGCTGGGGATGGAAGCCAGGGCCTCTACATGTGTTAGGGAAGTGCTCCTTCCCCAGGCTGTACACCTCCAGTCCTGCCTGCTCCTGAAATGGCTGACCAACGTGTGGCCTTCTGGGGCACATGATCCTAAGGGGCAGGTACCAAGAGAGAGCACCCCCCACCCCGGACACAGGTGGCCCAACAAGATCCAACTGTTAAGAAAAAGTAGAAGAAAGTAGTCAGTCATCTTTTGGAAGACCAAAAAGAACGTTTCACTTGGTGTAACGGAGGTTTCCTATATACAGTAACTGGTGAAGCGGAGCCAGTCTTTATTTCAAGGTAGGTTCAAAGGAACGGGGATGAAGTTTAGGTGTCATGGGCCAGGCGGGATGAGCCGGGCTAAGTGCCAAAACGCATGGAAAATGATTACCTGAGCCCCTTGCTCCCAAAGGACCTGGCCAATCCCCACAAGTGTGGGCTCTTGCCCACCTGGTATATGCAAGGCAGAGCCTATGACTGCAGCAAAACCTGCAACCAAAAGAGCTAACAGCTGCAGCAAGTGTTGCAGGTCTGCATTCTCTCAAGATGTAAGAGACAAACAAACCCACCCCAAAGAGGTGAAGTGACAAGAGCCCTTCCCATGAGTCAGCTTGATTGATGGAGCTGGGAACAGTCCGGGCAGCCCCTAGCCCTTGCTGACCCAAACACATTGTGTCATGAGAACACCCTGGGCCAAACCTGTGCATCAGTGTGAAGACAGACTGAGGAGGATGAGGAGATGAGGAAAAACACAGAAAGTGTGAAATTTTGCCACAGACGCAACTGAGCTGAGGAGGTATTTACAGAAAGGGAGTGGTACACCAAAACTGACCCTTGGTCGCTTTCATCCTTACCATTTCGTAAGAACTGTTTTGGTAGCGATAATTAAAAAAGAAACTCAAAGAAGCCATGGCAGGGGAGAGAGGGAAAAACACCATACTCTCCCCGTTGAAAAATTCTGTACAGTAATCTCCAAAAATCAACTAAGACAGCCTTCTAAAGCGGCCGGCTCAGTTCCTACTGCAGGTTTACTGAATCCTCTGAGAGTAGGCAACAGGTCCTTAGAATTTCAGTATAAAAATCATCCACAAGTTGGCTAAAAAGTTTTCATGTTTTTTTCTGAAAAAAAAAAACAAAAAAACCCCCAAAACACCAGAAAAACCCCCAAACAAAAAACGAACAAAAAACCAACCAAATGGGTATCAAAGAAAGTAGGTGGAAAAACAAAGGAACACACCACATGTAAACACCTTCCCCGCATCGTGACTCTCCTCCAAAGACCCAGGCTCTGGACACTGACAAGAAGAACCCTCCCTGTTTACATTCACACAAACGTCTACTGGAAATCCTGCCATGTGGTGATGCACAGACGGGTGACGTTCACATCGACACAGGGTAGTGTGTCGTCCACCCGCAGCACCTCTCTGGGATAGAGCCACCGGCTGCACCGTCGCGGCGCTGAGAGACCAAAGTGCTGGGGTTCTGGCGGTCTGAACAAAAGCAATGTCCATGTTTTTATCCTGGCGGCGGGAAGATCCTGTCAATGCCTTCTCCATACTAGACGGAGGATGAATCGTAACAGTTGTAAGATAACCATTTGAGGGTGGTGAGGGTGCTCTTCGGCCTCTGGGTAGTTATTTACCTGCAAAAACACAAGCGGAGTTCTTGGTTACTCCCTAGCAATCTGGAGCGCGCGCACTTAAAGCAAGACAAGCGTCCCATCTGAGCAGCAGGGGAACTCCATTCCATCTATCTGTCCCGTCAAGGGGACGAAGTGACCTCACACAGTACAAGCATACCAAATGAGTTGTCCATCACTGGGAAAACACAGCAAATAGAAGACCATCAGACTACTCCAAAGGCATCCTGGAACTACAAACTTTCACGTGGGTGCTGAACAAGAGCCATGCCACCTCTCTGGTGTTGGTGTCTCAGGAGAAGTGGCCGGGGTGGGGGAGGAGCAGAGGAAAACAAAGGAAGAACTCGGGTCCCTTTACTACCAGCCGCATTCACTGTTCACTGGCCATCAGACGTGCTCAGACTCCCTCAGAGGCGGATTCCGGTAGCTGTAATTGGCTTGAGAAAGCAGTGATTTGGGGGGTAATTTGCTCTAAGAAGCTAAATAAAGTGGAATAGTGACGGCCTTTGGCTGCACTGAAGCATAAACAGTGGCCCGAGGGGCTGCCACTGTCGCAGACAAGGGGCTGAGTCAACCTCGCCATCCCACACCAGGCCTGGGAAGGAAAGGGCAATTAGGAGCAAAGCCTGGTGGCTTGTGACATACATAGGTCAGTGACTCTCTGAAGACTGTTCAGAAGGAAGCCTCGGACTGATGTGAAGAATTCTGAGTCCCTTGCACCCCTCCAGAGTATCCGCGTGGGGATCTAACTCATCTCATTGTAGAACAAAAGGCAAGGGAAGACATTTGCCTCAGTGCCATGGGCCACAACCTGGCTCAAATTCTAGTCTGAACTAGACTTAACGACTAACCCACAAACAGGACCTGGCTGCGTGGCCGCCCCAGTACCCCCCTCCCACCTCCACCCCCCCCCCCACTAGGGTGGGAAGTGCTCCTAAAGACTGTCTGGGAATGACCATGGATCACACCAGGGCCCGTCTGTCCCCTCTCAGACTCCAAAGATCCCAGCAGACACCAGCTGCCAGGGGAGCTCCCCTCTCCCCACTGTTTACATAGCTCTCAAGCTCAAGGGGCCAGGGCATTTCCCCTTTTCTTTCCATAACAAGATGGGAGGAAATCGGCTTTATGTCAGCAATTCCTGTGGAGGAGCTCCCGTGACCACAGGCTGCGATTTTATCAGTTCTACACACCAGATTGCTTTGTTTTGATTTAACTTTCAAAATTACTTTGCTCCTTTGGTGTGAGAATAAGTCGGCTTGGGAAGGTACTTTGGTGAGGACAAATAGTAATAGGGCTGAAAGAGACTTATTCAAAATAGAACCGCAACTCACTAAAACAAAGAAAGCAGGCTCCACAACTGACTAAGCCATCAGTCCAAGGTGGGAAGACCCAAACCGGCCTGCTGTCACTGAGGCCCTCAGCGGAACCAGACACAGGATGACTGGGTAGCTACAGTCAACACGCCAAGAATGGCTTGCCCGAGGGATGGGCCTCAACTGCTTACACTTGGCAAGCTTCAAATTCTTGTGCTGGTAGCATCCGGGGAGACACTGACTGGCTCACCATGTGAGGATGACAGGTGGTCCACGGTGGCTGTGGTCTAGGCTAGCGAGAAGACACAGAATATCAAGCCAGGTGGCACTGTCGTGGGAATGCAGGAAATTTTGGCAAAGGAAGACCCAGTCCCCAGGGGTGCCCTGGGGTGTGCCACCCTCTCGGGCTCGTGGTGTGACAGCGCGGCACGCGCCTTCAGCAAGTGAACAATTGCTTTTGGACAACATTCAACGGAGGAAGCCATTAGTACTGAGTCAGAGCACCATGCCAGTCCAGAAATCCCCCGACAGCTGGCACGGTGGCTGGAGCTGCTCCCCTAGCCCAGCGCATGTGGCCCACACAACAGAAAACAGCTGGAGGGTGGGTGGCGCTAACTGACATCAGCTTCAGCAGGTGTGCCTCCGCCTGAGCTGGGCGGAGCTAACGTGTGGCAGGAGATTTGAGAGCAGAAGCAGAATGAAGACAAAAAGCCAGGACTTAATGCTTAGGAAAAGGGCTCTGGAGAAGGGCTCTTGTGACACACACATGGGGACCCAAGGCAGAGCCCCTGGCTTCAGTTTTCATCTGGTTTAAGGGTCAGGAGAGTTGAAAGGATCATGGAAACCGACTCGTCTCCATGCCCCTTCCCGCCACCCACACCCACAGGAGAGCGCCTGGCCAGGACATGTTCAGGTCAGGCCTGAAAGTGACCATCATTCGCAGTGCGGGGGGGATGGGGGGCCATCAGCTAAATGTCAGTGTACAGGGGAGAAGTCACCCACTGCAAGGCCCCTCACAACTTACGCAGAACTAGAAAGACAAGAGAACAAGCAAAGCACTAAGGGCATCAGATCTTTCTTCCTCAGCTGCAGCTCTTGGCCTGGGTCCAGAAGGTCTGCATCAGTGACTCACACTCGGGCACTCCCAGGGGCATCTGTGTACCGAGGGTATACAGTCCAGGACCACGCCTATGCCACCCGGTAGAAAACAGAATGCTTTTCCTGATTACAACCACTTGAAACAGAAAAATAAAGTACAATAAGGAAGGAAGCCTCCTCCTGGCAACCCCTCTATATGGGCCACAGTGTCCCCCCAACTTCTTAGCCTAGAGTCCTGGCCCCAGTACCTCAGAAAGTGTCTGCCTATGGAGACAGGGCCTTCAGCAAGGTGATGAAGATGAGCTCACCGGTGGGGGGCGGGCGAGGTGTGGCTACAGAGACTGAGACAGACGGTACGTGATGACATGGAGGACGGAACGTGAACAGGTCAGAGACAGGTGTGTGGAGACACGGGCGCTGCTGAGACCGCTGCTGGACTTGTGGTCCCCAGAACTGAGGCCGAATTAACTTCTCTTGTTTACAGCACCCTTTCTGTGGCAAACCTTTCAGCCTATTGAACGATCATTCTCAGCCCTTCGCCCTGAAAGTGGAAACACTTCTCAAGATGGAAGCTTAGCAACTGTTTCAGACTAAGTCACAGAGATGCTTGGGAGATCTGTCCCACGGATGCAGGTGGGTGAAGGGGTTACTTAAAAGGCTTCAGAGACAAGCAGGCTCTAAGGTGCTAAGACGGGCTTGGGGACAGAAGAATCACCCACTGCCACTGCTCAATGAAATGACAGGCCTTTAAGCCTTTGAAACAACCCCATGGGGCCAGGGTGGCACTCCTCAAGCCAAAACTGGCTGGAAGTAGCAGGGCAAGAGGTCGCAGGGCCAGGGCAGATACCCTGGATCCCATACCTTCCTAAAAGGCACATGTCACCTAGGGCCACATATTCAAGCTCCCAGAATGGAGAGTAGTGATTACTGGCATGCCGGGACAGAAGTTCAGAGGTCACTCTATAGAGTCAACACAGACAGCATTGCCTCCAAGTGGGACCCTCTCATTGCTCAAGATCACCTCCCTTTCAGTTCAAAGAAGGTTTCAGAGTGGGCTTGTGAAGTGGGAATAGAGGTCCTCTGAGTGATTGCAGCAACTCAGCTCAGACTTCAGGGGTTCAAATGCCAATCTCTACTTTGGAGCCCACACTCAGCGTAACACCACGCAGGCAGCAGACTGGAGGGGGCTTATAGTGACAACCACATCACAATAAAATTAAAGGTTGATGGAGATGGAAAGTCACAGCAAGGAGGAGACACTGGGAGACTGAGGGGTGACATCTGTGACAACATACCCACACTTCAAAGTCATGTTTCCTGGCAGTCAAGGTTACGGGGGTAAAAACGATGGTATTGGGGCTGAAAAGATGGCTCGGTGGTTAAGAGCCCTTAGTGGTCTTCTTGTGGACCTGGGTTCTCTGCACCCTCATAGATGGCTCAGAATTGCTCTGAAGTCCAGTCACAGGGGCTCCAATGCCCTCTGTCCACTGAGGGTACCTGCACATACATGATGCACATAAACTCATGCATACATACACATAAGTAAAAGATGAATAAACCCTCTTAAGAACTGACAGTACCCTATCCCAAGTGCATCCCAAGATAGGCGCCCCTCAGACCTCTGAGACACAAAGGAATCTGACTAGTTAGAAGTGTGTCTCTCATGGAATGTCCACACTGAAGGCTCCAGATTTTCTAATCGTCTAACAGGTTTACTTATACGTATGCAGCAATTCATAGGAAACTCAATTTTGCACCAGGAAGGACTCTGGTAGTCTCCGCTGCCAGTTCTGGCTCCAAAGAATGCGATGCCATGTCCACCCGGATGGTGCAATGCCCCCCCCACCCCGCCACTCAGAGTGAGCCATCCAGGAGGCGAAGGGGACCCAGAACACAGCTGTACCACGGCTATGGGATTTTAATCCAGCCATCTAAACGACGCTTACTAAAGCAGCCAGGAGGTCTTAGCCCCTCTCCAATTTCAGACAGAGACTCTGCTGAGATCCATGCCCACTGCTGCCCTCAGGCCAGAGGACTGATCCGAGAGGCCACATTCACTCTCCATTTGTTACCAAGGGAACAAGTGCATTTAAACAGCCGAGTCTGATAGTTTAGTGACCGCAAGGGCTGGAGAAAAGGCACAAGAGGGACTAGGACAATGTGAGGTGACCTCTGAACATTAGGGGAACAAACGTGCCCCCATCCCCAGATCCCCACCCTGCTAGCAAGTGGAGCTCTCACGATCTATCGTGACCACACGGGCTTGAAAGGCTGCTTTCGCAAACCGAACTTGTCTTCTATCTATCTCCTCCTATGCACCATATGACAGAAACTGTTAAAAGTGAAGGTCTTTTATGGGGACACAGAAACCACTCCACAGGCTTCATCGCAGTGGGGGCTACCTGTCTAGCCATCCTGGCAATATGACACACACATCGACTTGATGGCGATATCCTGTTCTATCGCCAGTCAAACACGGTTCACGATCGCTATTATGTCTCCTGGGAGAGAGACAGGGGCAAAATACTCAGTTCAGAGCAGGAACACGCTGTTCTGAAATGCTAAGTAGGATGAAACACACTTTAACCACAA